GGTGGTGACGTGTGACGGTGTGTGGGGACACGATGCCAACGTGTTCATCGCCCACATGGCTCATGCGCTGTTGGAGAAGGAGGGGTGGAAGGGTCGGGGGTTCAGTCATGTGTCTGGATGGATTCGCTCTCGCTTGTCTATCGCCCTCGCGCGTGCGACTAGCTTCTGTCTGCGTGGGGGAGGGAGGGGAGGGTTTGCGGGACTGGGGTGTGCTGATGGGGCGGGGATTGATCCCTCCTCCCCTTGAGCCTGTTTGAGTCTGCGTGCTGATGGGACTGTATTTGTATGAGTATCACGGACACACAGACGAGACAAACGGTTAATGACAGTTTCCCAAAGACAGGCATTTTGATTGTCATGTTCTGAGATGAAACATTCTCGATGGTGATTTGCGATGAAAAGGCGAGTTTGCTTGGCGAGGTTGAGTCCTGATTACCATGTAAGCGAATAAAGCAGCAGCGGTTTCAGGGAGCACCATAGGCGGCCTGACGGCCAAGTCCTCTGTCGGTCTGTCCCATCATGACGTGCAACACGCAGCATGTAAGCGAACAAAATCCTGCGAGCTTAGTGAAGCAGATCTTTCCAGTGCAGCAGATCCCGTTCTGGCAGTGCAGCAGATCCCTGTCTGTCGTTGCATCCCAGACTGACACACCCATGATAGAGCCTGCCTACGTGTCGCCTGCATACGGCTGCTCAAAGGCCCTTGATGACTATGTGCTCCTCGGCAGGTCCGGCCTGAGGGTCTCGCCGCTGTGCCTCGGCGCCATGGTGCAGAAAAGAGAGATCAGCCACTCATGGATGGCGTTTGTGCCGTGTGTGACACTGTAGACTTTTGGCGCCGAGAACCCAAATGCGGAAGGCAGTGCATTGGGGTGTGACTTTGAGACGAGCAAGAAGATCTTCGACCTCTATTACAGCAAGGGCGGTGAGTCAGACAGTCACCGCACCCACGCTCTATGTGCGCCTGTGACATGGACACGGCTGCTGTGGGCTCTTCCCCGTGCTTTCTCGTTGGTCAGGCAACTTCATCGACACGGCAAACATATACGCCGGCGGCCGTTCTGAGAAATTCCTGGGCGACATGATCGGCGAGAGGCGCAGCAACCTCGTCCTGGTACACACATATACAACAGACAGGAGGGCGGCCCACCGTGCGATGGTGCGATGGATGGTGCAGGCGACCAAGTACACCCTCAACCTGGGCCACATAATGCCCCAAAACAGGGCCGACAAGCGCCGCGAGTGCCTCTCTGGAAACAGCCGCAAAAGTCTGGTCGAGAACCTGGACGCATCGCTCAAGCGCATGCAGGCATGCACACGCCACCATACAAGCAGTGCAGTGCGGGAGTGGCTTCATGTGATTGGGATGTGTGTGTGTGTGTGTCAGATTGGATACATCGATTTGTTGTACATCCATGGTGACGCGCTGCACATGGGAATCGTGTGTTGGTTTGCCATGTGTATTGTTTGCTGTGCATTGGATTGACAGCGTGGGAGTACCGGACGCCTGTGGAGGAGGTGATGCGCGCCCTCGACGACTGCGTCAGGTGCGGCAAGGTGCTGTACTGCGGCGTGTCCGACACACCCGCATGGGTCATCTCGAAGGCAAACACCATGGCGCACTTCAAAGGTCAGACATGGCATCTGCATGCGCCCCTGTGAACACATGTGTGTGTGCAGACTGGACCCCGTTCATCGCCCTGCAGACGAGGTACAACATGCTGGAGCGGACTTTGGAGAACGACCTGCTGCCGATGGCAGTTGAATGCGGCCTGGGCATCGTGCCCTGGGGCGTGATCGCTGAGGGATTCCTCACTGGTGATGGGGGGAAATGAAATGTGGGCTGGATGGAATGTGGTGGAGGTGTGTGTGTGTGTGTGTCTTCTTTAGGCAAGCACAAGCAGGACAGCATCCAGCCCACAGCCAGGACTGGACGCATCAACAGACACGTACGGACGAGACAGGAGGCGTGGAGGCCTCTGTGTTCATGACTGTCTCTGGTCTCTTTTGCGCGCCTGTGTGTGCAGGTGAAGGAGGAGCAGAACTGGAAGATCCTGTCTACGGTCGAGAAGGTCGCCAAGGAAATCGGCAAGACGCCAGCACAGGTAGACAATCACACACATTGAGGTACCCGCATCGGTCGGTCATGTCTGTGTGGGTGCAGGTGGCCATCAACTGGACCTGCCGTGCCTGTACATCCCCCCTGATCGGCGCACGCACCGTCCAACAGCTGGAGGACAACCTGGGAGGTCAGTCAGCCGTACAGACAAACAGGCAGACAGACAGACACCATGCACACCACACCGCCCCTCCCCGCCCCTACTGCTATGTGTGCAGCGTTGGACTTCAAGTTGACTAAGGACCAGCTGAGAGAGCTGGACGAGGCATCCACATACACTCTGCCCTTCCCACACTCAATGAGGTCAGTGCACACCGCGCACACATCAAATCAACCGCCACACAACAGAGAAAGCTTCTCTCGGTGGCTGTATGCCTCTGCGTGTGGCTTGTTGGTTGTGTGCAGGTACACGTCCTTTGCGGCTGGCGGCTGCAGCGTCGAGAAGCCCGTCGCTTTCCTCGGGTGAGCCAGAGAATGGGCTGCCTGCACTGCACACCGTCGTTGCATGATTTCGTGTGTTTGTCAATCGGCTCTCAGGCCTCCTCCACCCTGAGCGGGGATTTCGAGCCCTCCAAGCCCTTCTAGCCCTGCTGTGCAGTGCAGCCCGTAGGCCTTTTTTCCGCCGGCCATTGCCAGTGGTTTTCGTGAAGATAGGCACATATGGGGCCGCAGTGAATGGGCTGATATATGAGAGTGTTTCTGGTTTTGCAATGGATGGCGACAAGCCATACACAGCCAATGGCATCTTTCGTGTGGCCGATGGATGAATGGAGCCGCAAGATTTTCGTGGATTCGATGGTCGTAGTGGGACCGCAGGGTTTGGCGTTCGGGCTCAGGGTTAGTAAAACGCGCGTATGCGGATT